CCCCAAAACCCCAAAACCCCAAAACCCCAAAACCCCAAAACCCCATAAGTGGCTAATTAATTGCAAACTAATAAATTCTGCAAAGATGGACGGATTCGGTAGCGATAGTGGTAAATTTATATCTCCATTCCCTCACTAACTCCATAGGCTCAATGAGTATACAACCAGAAGGGTTGTCTAAAAGCGATAAGGTTTCAGATCCTGAATTCTGTAAAAGTGTAGTCTCCGATGAAAATCGTGAGTATACCCCCGTTGAAGTCCTTGACTGGGAAACCCAGATTTATACCGAAGAAGACCTAGCCAAGTTAGAAAATGACCAAATGTTAGATGAAAATGAAGAAAAGAAAAGCAAAAGCACTCTCGACAGCACAGAGAAAACAGGGTGTAAGTTATGACTTGATCCAAAATTTATTATAAACAGACTCATTTTCTCAACCTCGTAATTTTCTTAATCTAGTGCTTATTGAGAAAGACAAAGGTGTCAAAGGAATTACGTCTAAGTAAATAACCTCTTCCTTTTCCTCTTCATATTAATGAGATTACTGACCTTAACAGCATGGATTTATCATCTGTATAGAGAAGCATGGACGATGCCAATACTTATTAACGTAGACCGCTTTGAGAACCCTATTGCAGATAATGTTCTTATCTGTGATATGTACATCAAAGTGAAGACAGGTGGCTCTAGAACTCTTGATAAAGTCTATTCCCAGTCAAAATTATACTTTAAATATCTTCGTTATGGTCTAACATTTCTTGAATTCTATAATCCAGACGATCCAGAGGTCTGTGAGAAGGTAGAGCTTGTCAGGAAAGGCCTCATGAGGGTCTTCGAGCTCAAGATTGACTATCTGCTGCAAGAACTTGATTCCCTATCTGTCAAAGGTAAAATAATGGCTCAAAAGGATTGGAATATTCGAAACTACATTGTAGGAGACGCTTACAGTTACTTGGATTCTGAACCACACCCTGATGATGACCCTGACTCTGAAAGCAAAATAGGAGGCATGAACCATGTCGAACTCTGTCATTATGTACAAACTGATGGCATTAACGTTCAAATATCCTGGTGTTCAAGCTTGAAGTGTTGGAGTATTGGCTCTTATAGTGTCAGTATTTTGGCTGCAACAGTTGAAGACCTTAAAAAGTACCCAGGTTATAATAAATAAAATCGATAAGATGAAGAAGCATGAGATCCGGTACAATTATTGCCAACTCATTGCAAGGAATTGGTTCAAAATACTCGATACTTTGAGAGAAAGAGATCCAGGACTTGACTTTGAAGATGAGAAAAATGAGCTTTATTTAGCTCTAGGAAATACCACTCTTGTTGGGGAACTGATAGGTGTGGATTGTATCCAACAAATTTTGAATTACCCCTCAGAGGCTCTAATCTTCTCATCACTAATAGACAACTCAAAGTCAAATGAGACATGAATGCCGCCGGAGAAATGAATTGAATTCTGCCGGAAATGGAATTTAAATTGAATTCCAATTACTCAAGTCGGTCTCTTCTCCACTCAAAAAAGTTTGAAGAAAAACATGTTAGATTTATACCACACAGTCACCACAGGTTCTATCTGTGAGTACGAGGAAGGAGTCATCATGATGCTTGTGCTAAGGAATCCAGGGAATCCCTCTGAAGACAAAGTGCTCTCCTGCAGCAAGATAAAAACAATCGAATATAAAGTCTTTAAGAAAGTCAAAGATAAACTTAAAAATTACTGGGAAAATTATGAAAAAGTAACATATATTACGAAGAAAATGGAAAAGGAATATAAGACCAAATTCGAGAGATTCAAGACCGAAGTTAACGATATCTTCAAATCTCACCTCTCTCCTGATTCAAAGTATAGAAAGTCGAAGCAGTCCACCGAATTGGTAAGCTACATTTGTGGTATAAGAATTTAACCGAAATTTAGGTAAAATTTGGTAAAGCAGCCTTCGACAATGTCATGTTCGACATCTCTCTGTACAACTTGATGAAGACAGACTACTCAGTGTTCTGTGAGAAAGTCTTAGCAAAAATATCTGATGAAGATAGCAATAAGTTCTCGGGAAAGAAAGGATCGAGGGCTCATCGCTCTCGAGAGCCAGAATTCAGCCTGACTTCCAGAATTTTTAACTCAGAAGTAACATATCCCTTCTGTGTTGAGCCTGAAGATTAAGGTGTTTTGTTACTTCTGAATGTAGCCCTGAGAAGCCTTAGATTCCTGGCAATTACGATCATGATCATTTCAAAGCTGAGAATAATTTTAAGGCGACCTCTTCAGAGCATTTTGGGGTTTTGGGGTTTTGGGGTTTTGGGGTTTTGGGGTTTTGGGG